AGGGAGAAGCCAAGGCTGTGACTGGGGGTCCTGAGGTTGGCTCAGAGGCGCCCATTCTTGCGGCTGGGGGGTCCTGCTCAGCAGACAGCTAACACACATGACAAGTTCCAGGGTCAGCTTGGGGGACCTGGGACAGCCACCAGCACAGCAAAGCTCCCAACGGCCCCTCCCTGCTCAGGAGGAGCCAGGGGTCAACCTTACAGGAAGGCCCAAGGGGAGACCCAGCCTCAGCCACAAGCAGGTCTGAGGTACTGAGCAGACCCTGCCACCATTCCCCACCAGTCATCACCAAAGAGCAGGAGGGTGACCCTCCCACAGCTCCCACCCTGGGGCTCCCACCGTCCACTCACCCGTCACCCCGATGGCAGACATGGGGCCCACACGCTGGCCACCGTGGAAGCCGTACAGGTTCATCTTGTACTTGTGGTCTGGCTCCAGGCCCGAGATGGTGACCCCATCCTCGTGCCCCGGCACCCGCACCGCCTTGGGCTGCCCGTCCCCATTCCTGTACTGGACCAGGAAGTGGTCAAACTGGCCCTCGGGGACCGTCCAGGACAGGCTGAAGGAGTCGGGGGTGGCGTCTGTTATGGTCAGCTCCCCCAGGCGAGGCTTGATGGGGGGCTCAGGGGTCATGGTGGGTGCTGCTTGGGTGGTCTCAGCCTCATCCTCTGGAGCTGGACAGACACACAGGGGGACAGTAAGGTCCCTGGGTCCTCAGTTCAGCATAGAAAGGATGTGTCACAAAACACAAAGTGCCCAAGAGCAGGACAATGCTGCCCACAGCGGCTCCAGCACAGCTCTCCTTCCTCGTCCCTCCTGTGGCCTTTCCTATCCCTCACCCTGACCCCCTGACCTCAGCCCCCACGTCACTCCAACTCCCAACACCCAGGCCACCTCCCCCTGTCCCTCCAGCACCGCCTCTCTTCTGAGCACAGCCCCACCCGGCCTCTCCACCCCGGGCCTCCCTGCACTGGGCCCTCCTCGCCATCTGTTGTTCACTGGCTTCTGTCTCTGCTCCCCAGCAAGCTCAGCACACCCCTCCCCAGGCAAGAGCCTGGGCATGTTCCTGGACCCGGCTCCTCACCAGCTGCCAGTGGCCTCAGAGCATCTCTGCCCTGAGTTACCCTGGATACCTTCCTCCACCACCTCCAGCCCCCAATCCTGGTTTGGGCCACTGTCACCTCTCACCAGGGCCACCAACTCCCTACTGGCCTCCCTGCCTCCAGGCTCCCTGCCTCCCCATCCCCATCTTCAGTCCCCACGGATGAGCTTCACACAGGCACAGACCTGGGCAACCACCTCCTCATTCCTGGGAGACCCCAGGCCTGGTGAGCTGCCCCCTCCTCTGCTCCCACACTTCAGGGTGATCTACCCACTACAAAAGACACCCACTCAGTCCTCAGTGCCTCTCTGGTGTCATGCTCTTTCTAGCCTCTGGCCTTTGCACCAGCTGTGATGATCTGACACACTTCACCTTTTCTCTAAAGCTGTCGCCAAGCTAAGGCCTACCTGGCCTCAGGTCATGGCTGTCCCCTGGGTACCCATGGGCAGGTTGGCTTAGGTGTCCCTGCCTGGTCCTGGCCTGAGCCCTCGTCCTCCCTGTCACATGCTCACCCTCCTTTCCTTCCTTTGCTGGATCACAGCCTGTCTCTCCATGACATGCCTTTCCATAATGTTGCTATATTCCTTTCACTGTGAGCCCCATCAAAACAGAAACATGTATAGGAAAATGGGAGGAAGGGCACACTTTCTAGGGCTGTCTTCTGACCTGCCCCACCCACACTCACTCACCTGTGACGCCCACGGTGGACACTGGGCCCACGCGCCGCCCCTCGTGGAGGCCGTACAGGTGCATCTTGTA